CTCTAAAAATAATATGCAGAAATAGTAGCTGTGGCCCCGAGAAATGCACATATGCAGGAAAGAGAATGTTTAATTTTCCTTCTGCATCCATCTTTACGGATCATGTTTATCCAGGAGCCTATGTAACGTCTACAATTTAAAAACTGGTTAAAAAATAAAATATCTATACACATCATGAAACATGCCATTCTACAGGTCTTAAGAGTAATTAATGAAATATTAAGGCAGTTTGCCTATGCATGTGTTTACCATGAACAAGCTCATTGTTTTAGGAGACAACATTTAATGAGTGTAGTCCTACAGCTTTCAACGCAACTCATAGGTGTCTGTGATTAAGTCTGGTCAGTGATTCATTCTGGGATCCATTTACAGGCTTTTGATGGCAGAGCTGCTTTTGTACCTGTGGTTTTTAGATTTGAATGACCCATGCTCAGTGAGCATTTTAATAAGATAGAAAGTATTCCAGTCGGTCTGTGGGTCAAGAGAACCACTTTCATCATGACAGCTTTTCATATTTTTACTTCACATTTTTACTCTTGATAGTGCTCACGGTTGTAACACATTTACCATGCTATGGGTCTTCTGCATTGCCTACAGCTTGCTAATTCTTCATATCCAGAGACCCTACCACGTTGCACTCTTGGCATTTCCAAAGTTTTTCTTTCTCTTTAACCACTTCGGTACCAGCGTCGACTATAGTCAATAGCCACAGATGAACGCACACAGAGAATTTAGCCGACAGCTGTGATATGATTTTTCTAATTTTTCATTTATCAAAATAAAATTGTGAACATTTAAAAATAACGTAATGAAAACATATGTATATGTTACCTATTCTGATGTACATTACAAGTAAAGCTGCCTGTAAAGTATAAACAAGCTTTCAGTGCTTAAAAGCTTTCCTCATCACACAAGAGCAAAATGGATTCATCGTCAATGCACAGCACAAATTATCCTGTGCACTATGAGTGCCGGCTGTTGGCAAGGTTTCCCTGCTGGTGAGCGCCGTGCCGAAGTGGTTAAGGTTTTTATGTCATTTTTGTCCCGGGGTTTTATTTCCATGTCAGTCTATGTGACCCTGCTTCTAGTTTATCATTAGCATTGCTACTCTGGCTTGTTTTGTGTTTCTGCAAATGGTTCAACCATTGTTTGACATCTTTAAACCTTTTGACCTTTAAGTAAAGAGATGCTTACAAGTGCATAAAATTATTTGACTCCATAAGTGAATGCTGAAAAATGCATGCAGTTTTTATAAACATCTTTATGCACTGTGTTAAGTTTAAGATAGGTAAAATGTGTTTGTTTGCACAATGAAGAAATTGTATAATAATTTTAATTCCCAGTAGAATAAGTGCATACATGCTCAGAAGCATGTACAATTTTATGAACATGCACTACCTATCAGTCAAAAAAAGATGTGAAAAGAGAATGTGTAATCACTTGTCCCAGTGGTTCTCCAACGCTAATGTACATCAGAATCACTTGAAGGGCTTGTTGAAATACTGATTGCTGAGTCCTTGGACTCAGTAGGTCTGCAGTGGAGTCTATGAGTTTTCATTTCTAATAGTTGATTCTGATGCTGTTGATCTGGGACCACACATTGAAAACTACAGCCATCCTATTTCTCTTCCTGAGCACACAGAAAGACTACATCTCCCAGCCTCACCAAATACCTGGGGGGTCTGGGGCCAGTGGCATGGGTCCACCATTTCCAAGCCTGGCCCTAAAATTCCCTGCATTACCCTCCACACCATTCCTGGGCCACTATGGAGACCATATATTGAAGATGGCAGCCTGTCAAAATGGAAGGCAGCTAGATCTGTGAGTCCATGCATAGAGGAAAGCTGCCTTATTCACATAAAACTATCATTTAAAAAAGGAATAAGTCTTTGTTATAAACAAAGCACTGAGGTTTGAGGATAGCACTAGCTGATTTATCCTAATACAGGCAACTTCATGAGATGAACCATGCCCAGCTCCAAGGAAACTTTTACCATGTAAATTTGAGAGCAGATTGAATCAATCTACCACGCATTCCCCCTAATCAAAACAAAATCTATTTAAATTGGTTTAGATATACTCAGACTAGAACCATATGTCTGTTGGCCATAAAGTGATTTTTCCCAACCTTCCTGAACATCTCCTAAATCCACCTTACATTTTGGGGTGATCTTTTATCTGAACTTTTCCAGCTGCCTGCTTCTTTGACTCCCATATTCTTGTATTCTCAAGTTGGTTTTACTCACACATCACTGGCCTCATGTTGGATGGGACCAAGGCCCTTTTCCTCCCATTCCAAGCCCATTCATTACCTAATAGCTTTGTGTTGTTTCCCTCTGTTCCTCTACTCTGTTCTGCTAATAAGGCCATCCCAGAATTCCTGACCCTATTTTATTGTGGCAGAATTTCCCCTTAGAAATCTTCAAAGTAAGGCTAATAGGCTGGACTGACATACATCTTTCATCAGTCATATGCTGTGGAGAGCAGAGTCTGCCCTGTTCCTTAACCCTATAGCTAGTACTACTTCTGCTGATTCTCTGGCCACCAGCTCTCTGAGCCCTGCCTAGATGTGCATGTTCCCCCCTTCCCTGCCGCACTGACTTCACTGAGTCTGATCTTTGCCTAGCTTGTGTCTTGGTATCTACCAGGCTCTGGCACCCCATTTATTTGTCAGTTCTCTCCAGACCTCCCCACACATTGTAACCTATAGATTAAAGTAGACTCTAGTCAAACCATCTTCCTGCTGTTATGAAAATGCTGTATCATTGCCCCATTGTCTCCCACACACAGAATTAGACAAAACACAATGGCTTTTCCCAAATATACTTTATTAAAAGTATGTGTTAACCCTTTTGGGGGGTAAAAAAAAAAGGTATATTTTGCCCCTTTAACCCTTTCCTAGCATACTGTCTGCACTACCTTACATGAAACCAAAGCCCAGAGAGTACATAAAAGGAATTCACACTTTTAAAAGTGTTCATTTTTCTGGTTATAAGCAAACATATATAAATTTATTAAAGAGAATTTCAAAATTAAGGAGAGTACACCAAGAAAAATCAAACTACTAGCCCCTATCCAAAGATAATCTCTATCAATATTCTACTATAAATTTGTATAATTTATATTTATTGCCATGTATTTAAATATACTAATATCTGGCTGCTTAATATTTTATTGTACGTTTAGGCTATCATTTGTTCAAATAAGCCAAACAAGTGTTGCTTCTAATTTCCTTGTTGTAACTCACAATAGGATGAACATGTCTATGCTTAAATCTTTGTCTGCATACCTATTATTTCTAAAGCAGATTCTTAGCAGGTGAATTCCTTGATAAAAGTGTATTAGCAATTGAGGTAGATACTACAAAAAATAACTAAAATAGTTAAAAGTGGTAATATCTGAGAAGCAGTTCACTAGGATGGGAAGAAATGGGGCAGACAAATGCTGTTTTCTGTTATAAGTACTGCATTTGGACTTTTTATGTATTATTATAATTGAAGGCAATTATTAAATTATAAAAAATTGATTTTTCCCCCAAAATTTGCTAAAATTTATCTTTTTGCAAGGCACAATTATGTACTCAAAAAAGTATATACATATTTTAAAGAATTCATTATATACCCACATTAGAAAAAACTGCTCTACTGAAAATTTATTAATATAATAATTTATCCCCCCACAGAGAGAGTATAACACTTCTCTTCCTGTAAAAACCTCTGCAAAACTTTCATTTTTAATCTTTTCTATTTAGGAAAATGTTAATTTGCATTTATTTGACTGATAAAGTTGAATTGTTTTCACATCTTATTTACTGGCCATTTATATTTCTTCTTTTGGCTTCTTAAAGGAACATAACAGAGCTTGTACATCCTATGTATGCCATTCCTGTGAAATTAGTCCTTTTGGAAGGTGATGTCCTTACACCAGTGACATGACCTTGGCTTAAACATCGGGGTAACTCTTCTTTGTGTGTGACTGTCAGAGCTTTAGTGATATTCTTTTGGATATTCTTAGGATCAGTTCCATCATCAAGGTGGGGACAAATATGCAAAGCAACTGCATGGTGATAACCTCAGGTTCTGTCTGTGATACATAAACCAGCCATGAAAGCCACTGTCAAAAAGGCATTCCAGTTACATGGTGAGCCATGAGAGCATCAGTGGAATAAATGCCTGGCTCCAGAAGAGCACCAGTCATTTGCATACATCCATCATGGAGGGCTTCTCTCTACATCCACCTTATTAGTTCATAGACAGACCTCATATTTAACATATCTGTATTAATTGTTGCCCATTAGTCTGCATGTCAATATGCCATGCAGCCTCATACACATATAGCCATATACACCAGACACTTAAAGATTAGATCAAGATTATAAACTAGCATATTTTAGATTAGAATGTCATTTATTCTAAGGATTTGTGTGTGTTTTGTGCACTGTTGTATCCTAGGCACCTAACAGAGTGCCTAGCACAGAGTAGATGGTTAAGAAATATTTGTTGAATACACGATGAACAAATGAATGAACGAACAAACCAACATTTAACAACTGGGCATCAAGACTGGAGCTTTGTTATTATCCTTACATTATCCTTATAACATCCTTATTTTGTAGGATAATACAAGTGACAAATATACAATAAAGGTAGAATGGCATGGAGGAAAGGCAGGCAAGCTTTAGTTCCAGCCTTGGCTCTGTCAGGGAATAGCTGTTATGATTCTCTCCACCTGTGTTTATTGAGTACCTAGAATGTGCAACTTCACTTTGCTAAATGCTGGAGATACCTGAGGAGTAGGACACATGCAAGTGTGCCCTCAGGAAATTTATAATCTAGCAATTATAAATATTCCTACAAATAAAGAATAGTGGCTTTTGTTACATACTGGACATATAAGAGGAGAGATTAAGCTGGCATGCGTGCTCAAGGAAAGCTTCCTTTTCTAAGGAGGGGGTATTTGAGCTGCATCTGGAGGCAGAGAGAACATTTCAAACACAAGTTCAAACACAAAAATGGGAGCACTGTGCATTGGAGAAACCGAGAACAAAGGAGTGTGGAGAGGGGGTGGAGAACAGTGAGATGAAATTGGAGAGAAGGTTCTTGTGGTTCTCTGCTTTGTGACGGCCCCACTGGTCCTCAACCTCCTTACCGGTGACATGGGTGTGGTCACACCTACCTGGTAGGTTTATAGTGAGTGTGAAACATACAGTTGTATTTCCTTGCTAAACTCATGCCCATAGGACATGCTCAGTTATGGTCATTTCCTTTTACTCTTTTTTCCTTCCATTACTTATATTTTGAGTTCATAAGAGCAATATTTAGATTTTGTGTGTCAGTGGATCTCCTTAGTTCCCATCCCAGTGCAAACTGCTTAGAAAAGGCTCAGTGGCAGCTGGGGTTACCACTATGATTATTAAGAAGTCTTCTGTATGTTGGGATATAACATTTATTTTCTCACCTAGATTTTTATTTCATAAATATTGCTGTGGGTTTACAATACTAAATTGAATTTCCAGCATCTGATTCTTTTAAATGTAGAATTATGCATCTTTATTATCCATTCATATTTCAGGTTTGAATGTACAGTTGGACATGATTTTATTTTTGAATGAGCAGAATATTGGTTAGTTCAGAGGTTCAAAGCATCCCTAAGATTTAGAATGATAAAAAATGGAATCTATATATATTGGATTGCAATATGTATTTGCATCACAGCATTTTTCTGATAGCCATGAGAAAAGTATATAAATATTGAGATTGAATGAATGTATATAAATAAAAATATCCCTTTCACCAATAATTTGCAGCACAAACAACAAAGCAGTAATTTAGAGCTCTGACCTTGTATTAATAATTCAGCTGATTAGAGGAAACCAATTGTCTCTTTATTTCATGTTCTGTTGCAGCTAATTTCTGGAGAATTCTAAGTGAATCAGTATGCCAAAAATTGACGAGTTCCATTCCTTTTGTGTCTAGATAGCTTGTTTGTCCTGTTTTCTCAATTTTCAAGTAAAAAAAAAAAAGTTTTCTTCTTTTTAACTGCCAACTCTGGACTAAAGCTGGGTCCTCCCTTTTTCTTTCTCACATAATTACATAATCAAGTTCCTGCTCTCTGAACTTTGCTGACAATTCTGTTGACAATGCATGCAACAGAGTAAAACACATCCCAGTCTTCCTTAACGAACTGAGCCTAAACAGTTGTAGAAACTCCCTTTAATCAGATTGATGTGCCCAGAAAGCAGATAATAGGAGAAAGAAGGTATAAAGTATCACCTTTCATTGCACGACTCTACATGTTTTTTTGTTTTCTGATTATTGCCAGTAGGTAGATAGATGATATTTATACTCTGAATATTACTCACAAGGGTTTTTTTAATTAATTTTTTTTTGTCTTTTTCATCCTTCTGCTTTTATTAAGAAGTTCCTGTTTATCCCACCACTTGGTCCCTCATACAAATACAGTTTTGTGCACTGGCCTATTCATAAATTATTAATGTCACATTGGAAAAAAAACCTTTCAGAAACGCCACTCCCCACCCCAACACCAACATGTAACTACTGGCTATTTCGCTGAGCTTCGGGGCACATGAAGCACACTCAACTTTACTAGTGAAGATAGCTGCTGAAGCTGTTCTTCCGCTGGTGAAACAATTAGCTTTATGTTCCATTTGCTGATGATGGCGCGCGCTAAACTGATCATGTTTGTTAAACCCCTGTCAGTCTTTTCAGCCTGCTCAGCTCTGGGGAGAGTCAGGATGTACAGCCGGGCTCCAGAGCTGTTGGGTAGAAATAAAAAGATCTGCACTCATCGCACAAGAAAATGGCATTCCTGGCTGTCAGTGTGGAAGGAAGAGCTCGTCTCTCCAGTGTTTCACAGCAGACTCTCGGCTCATGTCCCAGAGTGTCAGCTCACGCCTTGTTGCTAAGTGTGTGTTTTCCCCACCTCACCCGACAGGTAGACGTGCCCAACATGAAAGAAGGCAGCTCTCAGACTGGGAAGCAAGTTTACCCCTAATTTGGGGCCAGTTTTGATAAACTGAGTAGTTCCACTAATTCTTACTTTGGTGTGGGTTTATTATTAACCTTGAGATGTGCCTTAAATGCCTAAGAAATCAAATGTGGAGATGGTCCACTTCTGTCTGAAGACCTGGTAAGAGGCACCTCCTTTGTCCCAAAGACATCCCATCCCCTTCACCTCTCCCCACTGCATGGATGCGAACCCAAATTCTCCAGTAGACTGGTTGTGAAGGGAGATGGAATTGCCTGAAGGAATGGGCTTTGAGTCCCAAGAGTAGGAATATCATGTTGGGACCTATGATCTGACCATGCATTGAGGGTATTTGGCATTTTGCATCTTCAGCTAGTTTCCAGTAGCATACATCTGGCTAGAATGCTTACCATAGCGTTAAAATTAAAAAAGAAAAATAGACAAACTGGCTGTTGTAATCCTAAAGATTTCCTAAGAAGGTAAATCACAGAGGAAAACCATGTATTTTAAAACAAAATATAAATAGATTTGTCTATTGTACGCTTTCAATATTCTGTATATTTTTATTCACAAATATTAAGTGCCTAACCTGTGCCACCATGAGTATGAACAAAACAGACATTCTTCTGGCCCACAAGAAGCTAACTGTCTAAGCAGCATCCCGTTTAGTCAGCATGAATCATCAAAGTTGTTTGTATTAAGAATCCATAGCCTTAACACTTCACTCTTGCTATATGGTCTTGTCTAAATATCTCGCTGCTCTAAATTTCAGCATCTCCTGTATAAAACGAGGGAAATGGGTCTGGATAATCCTTTAGGGACCTGAACAACATTCAGCCGGCTTCTGCCATTAGCGCCTGTGTGGTCTTAGGGATGCTGCTTAATGTTTCTGAGCTTCAAATGCTGCATAAGTAAAATGAAATGCTCAATTTGCAAGGTTTTTTATTGTCATTGTTATTGTTGTTTAATGAAACAAAGGCTAAAGTCTAGCCTGGCCCAGTAGTAGTGCTGAATAGAAGTAGTTATTATTGTATTGTTTTTTTCTGTGAATCTGTGACTATTGCTTGTGATCCAAGGATTCCAAAATGTATTTTATTAGATTTACCAAGATCTCCTAATTCTGGGATGCTGCTGTTTATAGTAGACAACAGAATTCAGTTTCTAAAGAGTTACCCTGTAGCATTTTTCCTTTCTTTAATAAATCCACATGCAGGAGCACAGATGAGAAGAGAAATATATATTGGCTTTGGCCAGGTGACACAGAAGCATGCTTAGGACCCACTGCCGAGTGCCTTAGGTGTCAGCAAAGAGTCAGCTGCTCTTTGTTGACCTGATACCAACTTCCAAAGTCACTCTATTGCAGTTTCAAGCAAGAAAACATATGACAGTTTACACAGCTCTTCTATGTTCCTCTAGCTTTTTCCTTCCATGGTAGAAAAATAAAGATTTTTCTGAGAACTAAATGATAATAGATAATAGGGAAACTTCAGGAAGTTACTAAATATTTCCTTTTGGAGCTGTGGACATGCAGACAGCAGGCCACTGAGACATCAGCCAGACACTGGAAACTCGCCTGATTTGGTTTCAGAAAAGATACCAAAGAATAATTAGACCATAAGGGGAATTCTGTTTTCCATTCCCCAGGGACTATGATTAGTAAGTGACTTTCCATGTCATTCTTTTTTCCACTTCCTGTTTTCCCCCTTGGAGAAAATTGTTTACTAAATGACGGGAACAAATGCAACGAGAGCACCCAGGCAGCCTGGGCTGTACGGCTGACCCGGGCAAGGCTGCTGGTTTCAAACCTCTCTGGCGCACGGGGCCTGGATGGGAACTCTCTTTTCTCTTCATCTGAACAGCCAAATGGTAGAACTTGAGAATTTTTTCTGTGTGCTATTAATACAAAAAAAAAAAAAAAGAAAGAAAGAAAAAGAAAAGCTGTATATATAAAGTGAAGTTACTTTATTTGTTAATATCTCTAACAAATAAACATAGTGAAACACTGTCACAAATAGCAAAAGACTTTTCAGGTTTTCATTGTACTAGGAACTGTGTGCACAATTAAATTGAAATATAAATGTAAGCCAGCATTTCAGTTAAGCTGCTTATTAAAATAATTAGGCCAGTGAAGCGGGGAGTGAGTAAGCCAAGGAAATTGTGAATTTGGTTAAAGTGCTCTCTCTGCAGGTAGATACAGAATCGAACAAATGGGAAAAGAAATAAGGCATGGGTTTAGTAAATACAAACAGTTCTAAACAGAAACTCAAAAGATACTGGAAAGAAACTAAAGAATTTTTTTTCATGTTTATATATTTGTAGTCATAGAAACCCTAAACTTGAAGGAATTTGTGTAAAACCATTTCTAAACTGGCCATCACCAAGTTTAAAACTTGTTTGTCCCCATGAGTTTCACTTTTTGAAAGGTTCTCTTTATAATTTGCACTTATTAAGAGATAACTAACTTGATTTCTCACTAAAACATCCTCCAATGAGAGCACTGGATTAGCATGAAATAACAAGTATTACCTCTTTCAGTGAATATAATTTAAACAAAAGCAAATAAATGTAATGTTCTGATTAACCTCTGTAATCATATTATGGGTAAATGTATGATTGCTAATAGGCTTTTTTGAAGAGGCAAAAATAGTGCAAGGAGACCCATTGCCAACTGTCAGGGTGACTAGTTGGTAACCTTTGTTTATTCCTGCCCACTTATTGTATGGTTGGTTCAACTGCTCAGACTAAGGCTCTCTAGAGAGGTCAAGGATAGATACAGGTCTCTCAATGTCTAATCTAGCAATCTCATTGTTAAACTACACTGCTGCTTTATAAACTTATGCGGCCAAGGGGTTTTGAATGCCATTAATTCCAAGATTTTGAAACTTTAACTGCATTTGAAAGACTGTAGAAATAGCACTGTGGTAACCCATTTTCCTCTCTGGGTTCCTCATTAAATTTTCTTACTAGCAAGCTGGTCATTTTTAATTTTCGATCTTATGTGCCATGCTGTTATTTAAAGGCTATAATTTTTACTTAGTTGATGCTTTGCAAGTTCACAAGTCACTGAATCTTCCTTATTTGAGTCCTTTAGTGTGAAAAGTGTCCCCCTCTAAACCCTTCCATTTGATCATAGAAACAAGCAAGAACTTAAACATTAGCTCAGAAAATACCTCTCAGATGAGTAATTTAATAAATTTGCTTCTTTCTGATTATAGTTACATTTGGAACCCAACTCAACTCTCAAAAGAAGCTAGCGGGTAATTCCAATGTGCTGTTGGGGACTTAAAGAGTATTTGTAAGTTATTTGAGAGCAAAGTTTAGGACCACCTCCTTTCAGAGCTCTAGGGAAAGTGGAGTTGACATAAGAAAATTGACAACAAAAAATACAATGTTCCCAAGAATGAAAGCTGGTGACAACAACTTAAGTAGAGTGTCAGCAGCCCCAATTCTGGCTAGCACCGCTGGAAATTGAGAAGCCAGCATGAATGACCGGTGCATTACAGATGGCAACGTCATATTTTTAGACTACCTGAAGCATGCAGTGAACGCATAGGTGGTTGCCGAATGTTTCTCACCTTCTTTGGAGAATGTGGACTTGCTGAATGCCACACAGACCCTTCATATATCGTTCAAATTGCATTTGGAAAACAGAACATTTAACTGCCTGCCATTTTGAGCTGCTGCTGCCAAGGAACCCATACACCGAGGCTGCTTCAGGGAGGTGGGAGGGGGGGATTTGCATGATCTAGCAGGTGTCTCTGTTTCAACCTATCAATTAGGAAAAGAGCAGAGGCAGATGTGATATATTAGATGGCCCTAAGATGGATCACTCTGAAAAATCTCATATTGGCAAGAGGGATTCAAGTTGCCAGGAATCCCAAGTTTGCCATGTGACATCCCCCGAAGTCTGACAGGGTTTGACTGGTTTACTCTGCTAAATGAAACTGCTGAGATGACTGTCTCGAGGTGATTAATAAAGTGCATAAATCTTAACTATGGGAAGAAAAGAAGATGAATTGATGCATGCACATATTGGAAATGTAATGAAACCAAATTGAAGCAACCCGGATTTGCTAATATATTACAAAAAAACAATACTGTGTTTATTGTTCCTCACTGGTCTTATTATGTTGGTCTCATTTCAAAAATGACCAGGAAGACGTGTTTGATTTTATTTTTCATTTTTCTAGCATAGGAGACCAGATTGGCAACAAAGTGGGAGAGTAATAATGACATCATATATATATGTTCCCCTCATATTCATCATTTATTATATATTTCTCCCATGTTAATGCAGTTAATAAAAAGAAAGATTGGTTCAACTTCCCTTGAAGCTGCTATTGAATGCTGTTAGTCAACATATATGAAGTTTTAGTAGTTTTTGAAGTAATTAGAACCCCGGAGCAAATAAACACTAAATGGGCTTTCATCTTTGAAGTTATTTTTTCTAACTAAATAGCTCTGTTCTGTTATAATTATATACTAGTCGTTATAAAATTAAAAATCATTTTAAGCTAATGGATGCCTTTTTTTAAGAAGTATTTGTTTCTTGCTAATTATTGTGAACTAATTGTAGTTTATGATGGTCTTCAAGAAATCTGAAATCACTGCTTTAGAGTCCTTGTCTCCAATGGTTGCAGACTTTAGTTCCAGTAGGAAAAAAAAAAAAAAAAACATTTGTAGGAAAGAGTGTCTAAGTTAATCAAAATCAGAATTTTCACGACTTTGAAAAGATTTGACTTTTTATAATGATCACCACAGACAGCTGTACAGGGTGATGGCATAAAAAAGAGCTTTATTGTCACATGGTCCTGAATTGCACTCCAGCTACAGCAGACACTGTGACCTTTGGCACGTTACTTAAGGTCTCTGAGCCTCAGTTTTGGCATTAGTAAAGTGGGGATAATAATACTCACATTGCAGCCTTGTTTTGAGGATTAAAGATAATGTCTAAGATTTTTAGCACAGAGCCCGTCACCACAGTTAGTAGCTATTATCATTTTTTTTTTACTTCTATTTTTATTTTTATGACAGAAAATAAAAAATTGTTACTGCTCCCAGGCCCAAGCTTGGCCTTGGAGGCAGTCAGCCCATGGTGTCATGTGTCGGTGTTCTAATGGCAAGTTTGGATCTACAAAGAACACTGGATTTAGGTTGAACAATCCAGAAAAGAAGAAGTTTTCCGTGTCATTTTCCTATCCGTATGGGCTGACGTCAGGTTAAGCGTGGGTAGAAAGTGTGACTGTTCAGGCTACATATGTGTCAGGGGCTTGAACCAGCAAGTTCTTGAGTGCCCACCCACTCATGAATTTATGAGGGCCCACGCTTCGCCAATACCTCCCTAGGACAACAAGGAAGACAGAGGAGTAAAGGGCAATCACAGAAAACCAAAACATCAAACTACAAGAAAAACCCCTAGAGACATGCCTCATAAATATCCCTTTCCTCCCAGTTCTCTCTTCCTTTGCTCTGTATTGTACATTGATATAAGTTACACGGGTGAGTAAAAACGGGGCACCAGGTGTTTCTGTCCAGAGGCAGAGGTGATGACTATCCACTTCGGGGTTTCCCTCCAACTCCCAGCAATGGCCCAACTGTTTTCATCAATAAACTATTTCCTTTTCCTCTCCTTAGCTCTTTGTTCTCACTTCTCATTTTTCATTTTGCTGTTGGTTTAAAGAACATCCTTCCTCAATCTGTTTCTTGGTCCTATGTACTGAGTTTGCCTATTGTTTCTCATACTCCAGGCACAAAGTACTTTACATATGTTATCTTAATCCTGAAAAGAACTCAATTTTACAATGGAAAAAAAACTTGTGAGTCACAGGAGTAGCAATTACAGCAAGGGCAGGAGTGAGTGAGGTCTTTCAGGCACACGAGAGCAGGCTGCCTTCCTGTCTTCAATGTGGTGGGGACAGATGTGTGATTTCAGATGGAATTCCTACAAGAGATACCAAATCCGGATTCTTAATGTAGATTCTGTGGGGGGCACTTCAACTGTGTTTCCTTAACCTGACTCCTCCAAACCTTCTTTATCATCCTCAATGGAATCTACCCAGTTCCACTGGGGCAAAGGCGTTGATCAAGAGATGCAGATCCAGCAACCTTTCATGTTTTCTTTCTTCCATCCTCCTTTGATCAATCCCCTTCGTCCTCATGGTTTTCCCATCCCACCATCCTGGCTTCCCAGATAAAAGGAGCATGGAGAACCCTGCCAAGCTTATGACACATTGCCTCAGGGGTAACGGAAGAAAATGTTCTCATCTCAATAGGGTAAGGGAGTGGTAGTGTTAGCCTTTATTAGCTTTTTTAAGATGCTGGAAAGAAAAAGAGGTTGGATGGGTTTCAGAAGAAGGAAGGAAGAGGCATTTCAGAGAAACAGGAAACAAACCACGCTTAGAGATGAACAGGCCTCAACAAAGACAAGAACATGGCCATCCCTAACTTCATCTCAGACAGAAAGGTCTAAAACACAGCTTTCTGACATGTGCCCACCCCTCCCCCCTGACCAGGCTCAGCACTGCAGTTAGGTAGCCAGCCATCTCAAATCTTTCTCCAAGTATCAAACAAGGGTTCTCACAGGGTCAGGCTTTTAAAATAGTGATGGTAGCCACCAATTGTTGTACACTTGTTGTATGCCACCTACTGGTTTAGGTCCAGGACATATGATGTCCCCTTCAATCTTTACAAAAACTCCATGAGAATGATAAATTATTTTTCCCAGTTTACAGATAAGAAAACCAAATCACAGTTAGAAAGGGGCAGATCAGGTGTTGAAACTGAGCCCTGTTATTTCCTAGGTCTGTGTCCATTTCTGCTATGCCACATTATCTGAAGCATGCCATTCCACATTAGTGGGTCTTTAATGGAGCAATGGCTGTGGGTTGGCAAAGACATTATTTTAGGGAAACCTGTTGATGCCACCATGACCTAAGAAAAAAGCATTGGTTCCTTATTTTTTAATGACAACATTCATATTTCATTAAATACAACAAAACTTCAAAGCCGCTATATGCATTAGTTTTGTCTATATGCATTTGTTTTTTTTACCTAGTTCTAAAAAAAAAAAAAAAAAAAAAATTTCTGTATCTTCCCCAAAGTTTATATACTCACTGTAACATGGGCACTATTCAATCTCTCATGGAAAGTGAATTTAAGACTCATGAATGTTCACTGCACAATGTGAATAATATTATTTACAAACCACTCAGAGTTGGGAAATCCAAACTTAAAGCCCACCCATGCAACTCATATTCCAGGCTCTTTCTTGTGACCATTCCTGAATAAGCATGGCTAAGAACAGAGTAGTGTGGGAATCAGGAAGAGCCTCTGGATGTAACAGTACAGGGCATCACACAACACCGACTTCTGCATCCACTCAAAAGTTATAGGAATTTGGGCAAGGTCATTTGTCATCCTGGGATCACGCAGTTTCCAAGAACAGGTTTTGATTCACCACTACTTCTTCAACACTCTCTGATAGACCATTTTCCTAGAAAACAATGGTGCTGAGTGTGTATGTGTCAACTCTGGCAATTGCAAGAGAATTTGATGAATTTCAAACATCATTTCCAGTCAGTCTTGATGTTCCATTTTTGTCTAGATCAAAAGAGTAAGAGGGGATATTTCAGATTCCTTGTGGATAAAGATTGGAGGGGACAGGGGTACATCAGGCATGCAGAATCACTCACTTGTCAATCTAATTGTGCAGATCATTGAAAACAGGATATGCTGATTCTTGTTCAACTCAGTGTGAACACTTACAGAATCATATTGTTGGAAGGGAAGTTATGAGGTCATCCCAGGCACTTCTGCCTCAAACCAGGTGCACACCCAAACTGTAAAAGACAAAGATTGGCTAATTGTCTCATCTATCTTTGAAAAGTACAAGAAACCTGGAGCTTTCTTCATTTTATCATGGGGGGGGGTGGAAAGTGGCCAGAGTTTCTCATAATAAATCCAAAAGACTATCTGCGGAAGGACTACATTTAATGAGCATGGTAGAAGGAATTTTTGGCAGTTTTTGGAAGTTACCTTTATTTTGCCCATTTTATTGTCTGAAAGTTATAACTCATAGTCATCTTTGTTCTTTGCAAATGAGTTCCCACACCTTCTAGAATGTGGAACAGCTTACTTTAGGCTGCCAGCAGGGATCTATAGACCAGAAACCATTGTTTCTCCACCCTTAGTATTTATGAATGGGAACATACCCTGGTAGGTCAAATGTCTGAATGAAACTCCCAGATAATTAGAATAGAAAATAAAACCCTACTCTCCAACCCCAAGACCCTCTGTTTATTCCATATTCATCTGCTCTGTCTCCTCTGTTCCCCACATTTGTTCTCTGGAGTATTTGCTCATTCTGTTTCTCTCCATCTCCCCAAGTTCTAACCTTACTACAAGACAGAGTGGCCCATCCCCGGAGCCCAGGCTGGCTCTCTCTTCCCTGGAGTTCAGTGCTTGTTTGTTTGTCCTCTTGTCTTTAGCTTTGCCTCACAAATTACTTCAAGTGTGGTCCCCGGGCTTCATCTTATGTGCCAATTCAGATTGGGAATGGCTGATTAGAGGAAGATTGCAAAGCCAATTACAGAGTTTACGGGAAGAGAGATGTGATGGATTAGCCATGTCTCTCATGGGCATGGCAGCAAGGAATGGAACATTTCAGCTATGTATCTGCACTTCCAAAACTAGCCCATAGTACCTAGGGAATACGAATCTCTTGCTTTGGGTTTTATATCCCATACATGACTAATATGGTTCTGACCCCATAGTAGGAGCTCAAACCATATTCATTGATCGATATCCCAAAGGGTGCCATTAACACATCAGCAATAAGATCTAAATGAGCCTGGAAAGCGCATCTTGTTTTTGCCTAGATATGATATTTCCTGTAAAAGTAAAGTGCCAGAGAATGTACTATGTATTGTCCTGTGTGAGACCTGGTCAAACATGCAGTTAGTGTGAAATTCCACATGCAGCCACACTTAGAACTAGATTTTATTTGTGGTGCATCTAGGCCCATTGAATTTTTTTTTAATTTCTGTATTTAATCCATGAGAACAGTTGTCTACCTCATTCTACCTGATTTCTAATTTGGGCTAAAATGATATGCTTAAAGGAACAAAAGGAAATAAAATATACAAATATATGTGTATACATACATGCATACACATATGTGCACACACATTATGTGTATTTTTAGATATATATGGAAGATATAAAAATAAAGTGAAAAGATTGCAGGGAACCAGAGCTAATGAAAACAGTCTGCATGATAAATACAGTCATAGTTGCTTTAAAATCTGTACCTCTTCCCTGTATTTCCAGTGTGAACAACTTGTTGGTGTCAATTTAAGAATCTACATCCTGATCACTGTCCAGTTTCAGCAAATTCCAGTAGTATTTTAAGTTTGTTCTCATTTCATAAAGAATTTTTTTTAAAAAAATGTATAGTTATAGCACTTACTACTGAGGTTAATTGGAATTTCAACTTCAACAATTTCTTGCAGCTTAGAGCAAAATATTATGTATTTGAAAATCAAAAGAAATAAATTGTAGGAGACCAAAAGGTAGGGTTTACACAGAAGCATCTCTTTCTTTGGACCATAGAAGGAATAGGCAGCTGCTGGAGCCCAGCTTTCAGCAAACGAGCTCCACAAACCTCCACTAGCTTA